TTGTAGTTCTGCTGGCCATTGTGATTGTGCTGGTTATTGTTGTTGTGCTTGGGATTGTAGTTGTGCTGGTTATTGTTATTGTGCTGGCCGTTGTTGTTGTACTTGTCATTGTTACTGTACTTATCATTGTTGTTGTACTTGTCATTGTTGCGTTTAGATCTTTGTAAAAGACAGAGAATGAATAATGATATTAGTCGTAAAAAAAATTGAATGGAAGATACCTGAAGTTTGGTTTGGCTTGTTCTTTCGAATGAAATAAATACTTGGGACAAGGATGACAGTCGTGCTCACTAGGATCACAATAGATAATAGGATATACTGGAATCTAGAAGGTTAAGTCGGTGTGTTGGATGAAGAGAATAAAAGAAATGCATACCGTGACATTGCCATTGTGTCTGTTAAGTAGAAGTTTAGCGTATTCTATTGAACAGTACTTCAAAAATAGACTATGGAAATTTTGTGTGAGCCGGATCGATAAGTTCTGTTTGTAAGTAATCTGAAAGTTTGAAGTGTAGTAGACTTTTCGAAATTATTAGTAGGAATGGAAAACTTGCTATAATTATTAATATTTATTAGCAATCGTTTTTGAGACTATATGTAGGCATATGTCTTCTCGTTGCGAGAAAGTGTTGCTATGAAAATATTAGTCAAAAAATTCAAAATATTCTTTCACAGTTTGTGTGAATCTCTATAAACAATGAGTAGGAAAATAATGACACTAGTTGCTGCTCAGATTCCGTGCGATCGAGATCAAGACTTTGACGTTGTGAGGCCTGAATGAATAGGTCTACTGTGAGATGACTGTTCCGAAAATAGTGGCATTCTTTATCAATGTATCATGGCCACGTACACTAAAATAAGATTTGTCGCAACTTGCATACATTTACTAGGGTTTGAATGTGTGCCTGCTCTTCCCTTACACCCATACTCTCATGAGTTTTGAAATATTAGTAAGAAAATTTATGCATCAGCCAACGCTACTAACAGTCACAGATATTACAGTCTGTTTCTGACCTCCTTTTCATACTGGAAGAACATACGGACATATTGGTCTTAGATTTCCCAACTACTTATGATAGACTTCGTGAGGTTTCTTCCTCATAGTTAAAGTGTGTCCATCCAGCTTCACATTATTATGTCACATACATAATACTTGCCATAAAACAAATATGTTAAAGGTATTTTCCATACATGTTCGTTCTCTTTCTTTATATATATACATATTGTTAACTATAGCTATAGCTTTTCTTTTGTTCTGTCAGGTTTTTTCTCTAGTGTGTTCTCTTATTTTCTCCCTTTACTTTCTATCTTGCTTTGATGTGATAACTTTGTATGTTTCAACTGTATAATACTATGTATTGATATATTCCACCTGTTTTCTAACATCTCATATATATAGATCTGTTGTTTCTAATAGAGGAGGATAGGGATTAAGGCACAAAGAAATATACAAGTGTTTGCAAAAAAACTTGGAAAAAATTTTTTTTTCTTAAAACATTTTTCTCTACTATTATAAGTAACTACAAAAGTGATTTTTTGAGGGATAAACCCTCGACAGATATACTACACGTTGTATGTATAGAAGTGTAATTTCTTTCCTCTTCGATATTTTTACAAGTCAATCAAAAGAATATGAAATTATACTGTTGTACAGAACTCATCGTGGGCTATCTATCACACTATAAAACAATTCGAAGAGCACTTGTGTAGAAAAAGATATCTGTGGAAGAAGGTTTCCAAGTTTTTTTGAAAACACCTGTATATATTCTTAATTTCTTATGTCTATCCGTAACTTCTTACTCCTGAGTCTAAATCCTTAAATTCATCCTTAACACCTTATTACTATGTCCAATCCCTTAAATGTAGCCGTAAACACTTATTTTTAAATTTAAATGCTTAAATCTATTCACAACACTCTATTCCTAAATCTAAACTCTTAGATCTTTTCCTTACCGTTATGACTAGTCGGAACAACTTATTTCTTCATGCAAACTCCTTCATCTATCTATAACATCTTAGTCTTATATCCAATAATAAAGTTCTCATTTGTGAAACATGAATTCTGAAAACTGTCATTTAATATCCATAATTGATTGTAGCGTGAATGTAAATGGCTAAACGGAGGAATGAAGTCAAATTAGTCCACTGTGTGATTGGTAAACATATGTTCTTATTATAGATAGTATAAGGGAAAAGATTGGTTTCATGCGAAACCTCTTCACTGAGATACCGCTAGAAGGTGTTGTACCAAACTATGTGGACTAGAAAAATCCTATTGTGACTTTCACGAAACTTAATTCATTTCGAAACCTCGTCAAGGTTCTATAAAGTCACATGATACTTAAAAAGGTTCCGTAAAGTTCGACAAAACTCCAAAAGTTCGATAATGTACCGTTTTTTTCAGTGTAGTGAACATCGAAATTTTAATCTCTACTGTAGGAGAATTTTAATTTCTACTGTAGTAGAAGTTAAAATACAGATTTAGACGGACGATATTATATTTGTTGTAGGATAAATTAAAATTCAGGGAGATTCAAAGTTTTACTAGGACAAGTTGAAGTTTCAATTTGTCTCAGAAAAATTTTAAATTTTCCTGGATTTTAATTTCTCTTGCAACATATAGTGGCACACGCATTATTTACTATTAAAGTAGACAGCAGCGCAAAAAATTGTTGAATATACCAGAAATTTTACATCTATACATTCAAATAATATTTCTTGTTAGCAGGATGATATTTCGTATCTGATGATACTCTAGCTGCTTTGCATGGACATTATTTGTAACACAGCCAACATTACCAATACAAGCTTTTACAGCTGGATTAATACCACTACTAAAATAACCTTTACAAACTTGAATAAATGTAGAAGCTTGTGCTTGTTGTTGTATTGGCTGTGCTACAAAAGAATGCCCTTGCAAAGCAACCAAAGTATCAGGTGGCGCGAAATATCATTCTCCATAAAAGAAATATTGCTAAAACATATAGATGGAAACTCTTTGATACATCCAGCAATTCCTTGTGCTGATATCGACTTGATTAGTAGATAATAGGTATACTTGTATATATCATCATCCATCTAAATCTGTATTTTAATTTCTAATACAATAGAAATTAAAATACATCTATAATACAATATTCTAGCAGAATTTTAATTTCTCCTATAGTAGAGATTAAAATTTAGATGTTTACTAGTGCAACTTACTGGTGCCTCTTATTTTAATTTTTTTCCTAGAAGAAAAAGGAGTTTCATTTCAACTGGTAGAATTTCTTATTCTACTAAATTTTAATTTCTATTTTAACATTAATTTTATTCTTCTCTTAGGCGTTAACACTCAGATACTTTAAAATTCATATTTTTATGGAAAAAGCATAGTAAGAAAAAAGAGAAAATGTAAAATCTATTTTATCACACGCTACAGTGCTTTTCAGTTTGATCATCAAAAAGAAAAAAATAACATAATGCAATATCACAATCACAATCTTTTGCTTTGCAGTTTTTATTATTATATTATTATTTCCTTTGTTGTGCTTTCTTCACAACATTCTTTGAAAAATGAAGATGGTGTAACAGAAACGCAATTCAGCGCCAAGTGCTCAAGAAGGAAATGAGTATAGTTGAAACAACTCACTCTCATTTCTTTAATAACTTTCATACACATGTGTTAACTTTTCCTGAATATGATTTTATACCATTTTAATGGCATCTGTGCAGAGTCTACGCTATGAAAGAAAATAAATAAGCAAAGAAAAATAATGATATTATACACCTTGTATATTTCAAAAGAAATCTAAAAGAAAAACAACATTTAAAAATACTAGATGTCTATGTATTTGTTTAACCCTTTGAATACGGACGACCAGAATTCTCGTTTCAACATTCTGTACTCTGAATAGATTTTGTAAATATTATATACTAATTAATCCATGGAATGATGTACCTTAATATTTATATTTAAGATATTTGTGCACCGTTTTCATAGGTTTTTTTTTGAATCCGAGTTAAACATTGTCTTCGTAAGAGAAAGTTTCATTTTTTTTCAAAAATAATCTCGTATTCAAAGAGTTAAAAGTTATTTCTTCAGCTTTATACTCCTGATACGAAGAATTTTTCCTTTTTGTATATGTTTGTTTATTAATATTTTGCATGTTTTAGATTTTCAAGCTGAACAGCTCTTCTGATACAAACCTAAGACGACATTTAGACAATATTCATAATGTATAACAGTTTTTATATCCATCACAATTACAAGGTCAGAAGAAAGCGGCTTTAGTTTTAACAAAACACAAAAAAACAACTAGACAAAACTCCAATCGAAGCTATAACTTTAGATGGACGTGCATTCAACGATTTAGGGAAGAGAGAGATAACAAAATTTTTAAATTTAGTAATACCAGGGTAAAGAAAAACGGCACTCTAAGGTTTTACTTATCTTTATTTTTTTCGTTTCTTAAATATCGTGTACCACATCGTAAAACCATTCGTCGTCAACTGGAGATATCGTATAACAATATCGTAAAAAGTTAAAACAACTACTACCTCATATGTCTGATATTTTACTTACTTGTGATGTATGGAAATCTTCGACCAGAACATATTACTTTTGTATCGCGACACATTTTTACAGCGACAAACATCAATTACAATCTTTTATCTTATCATTTCGTCGTTTCTTATGGAATGAGATAAACAAACTTGGAATCAAAGAAAAAATTACTTTTATTACAACTGATAATAGTAAAGATATACGTATTGTAGCATCAACAGTTGGGTTTAGAATCAGATTTTCATGCTTGTGTCTTAATTAAAGTTTATAATCGTGAAAAATGGATTCTAGTTATATGATAAACCGAAAATAAATAGGTAAGAAAAATTAGAGCTACTTATTCAGTCTCCAGAGAACTTCGACACGACACAGAAAAATTTATTTTCTTTACTTGAACAAAACTGCTGAATAATAATTAATATCTTTGTCTTGAGCTTCCTTA